CCCCTCCAGGGCTTTGTCCCATGGTACTCGACCAAGCAGATCCCTGAAGAGCCAAGGTCTGCTCTCCTGAAGTCCAGGGTAGTGAGCTTGCTGTGCGCCCTCCTCGCTGCCCTAAGGATCTTGAAGCTGTGTCACTTGGAGAAGGAAGTTATCAACGCGTTCCAGGAAGTTTACAGGAAGATTACAGTAGTTCAGGAAGGATAATCAATCCGGGAAGACTACAGTAGTTCTGTCTTGAAATTTTAATTCCAGACTACATGGACAAGACCCGAGATGCCTGTTATCTGTTCCTCAAAGCTATACATTAAACAAAACATGCATCTGATCAGTTTAACCCGTAATTAAACATTTTCCTTAAGCAACTGACATCTTGATAACTAATAATTATCATGTGTAGCACCTTTAAAGCCTATTATGCATGTTTATGTAAGAACACTATTACCATAATAATAAGATATCATTACCGCAAATGTGCATACTGAATGAGCATGTCTTAAAGTAATCATGCAATTCCATTAATCATACTTGAAAAATTAAAGTATTTGCTCTTTAATCTCTAAAACACTACTCAAAAGGTTTTGGAAACAGCAGGACCTGTTTACTACAAGTCTCTCATACATGGTATCTCATTTCTGGTGTCTCATTTTTGTTTCCTGAATTGTTGCTTATCTTTCAGCTAGGGAAATTGTTATTAGCTCAGACACCCACACTCTCCCATTGAAAGCATTTCCATGCTCTGATTTTTATGCTGTTTGCCTTGTTTTTTGTCCAGGGAGTGTTGCCACCTTTTCTTAAGGCTGATGTGAAATGCACTCCTGAAACTCAGTTCTCCTTGAAATTAGATAATTGCCTTAAACAAGATGGGCTGATAGCTAATTGTAATTCTGTGAGTCCCTTGCACAGGGGGAGAAGAAAAAAAAAAAAAAAGCTGTTCTTCAGGTGCTCTTTTTTTTTTTCTTTTAGTAGAAGATTGGAAAGTTGGGGAGTGGAGTTTTCTGTATAAATTATGTATAAATTTTTCAAGAGCGTGACAGTTTGAGTTTGTTTCTCATATTGAAATGTCGAGCTCTGTAGACTGTCCATTTTTGTTCTGGAAGAGACTTGCTGACCAGAGCGAAAGTTGGGAGGGAACTTTTAGCCTACTAAGAAATCTGAGTAACTGAAAAGAGACTTTTTCTTGCTGTTTAAATCCAGTTTAAATCAAATATCTGATATGGCTGAGAGAAAAAAGTAGTAAAATAATCTTCTAGTTTTTTTAATGATTTATTAGAAGATTCCTATTGTGGTTGGCCTAACATGATCTTTGGGGCATTGATGGTGCAGAGAGAAAGAAGGTTGTGCAGGTCTGCGTGAAGTCCACACCCCTTCCCCTTTCCTGAAACATGCTGGTTGGTAGTTCATGGACTGTGTCCTTGCGCATGGAGTTGGCAATCACACTGCTCCATGGGGCCACTACGTGAGAGAGCTGAAGGAAAGCAGTTGTAGAAGTTAAGAGGATAGATGAAATTGTTGGCCTTTTGCAGGCATTTACTCATCCAAGCGCAGTATCCATTTGTGCTGTTATTGTTAGAAGGGAAGAGCAGGCTGTTTAATCAATGGCTTTTTTTCTGTAATCCTTTGTAAAGCTAAAAAGCATGTCCTCAGTAGTTCTACCAAAGCTTTTGGGAAAAAGCACTAAACGTGACACTTGAAGCCACAGTTGTTTTACGAAATCAGTTATTATCATTACGTTGTGGTGTATTTTGATCACTCAGAAGGAATTAACTCAAGATTTTCAGTCTAAGAATGCCTTTTGCAGTTTTACAGTTGTCTGTAGGACAGGTGTGTGTCTGTAGCTGTCAGGCACCAGCCTTTTCATTCATTCTCTTTGAACTCATTGATAAAAATGCATTTGTGTATAGAGTGATCAAACACTTGCTGCTTTAGAGAGGCCATTCTTTTATCTGTCAGTAATACCACATCTAATTTAGTAACATAATGTGTTAGTATATCACTGTGTATTTTCTTCCTTAATGCTTGGCATTAAGTAATCTGGAGCACAATGAAGGATTTCTTAATGCCACAAAGTACATGGTGCCATACATCTCCTTAATACTTGATTTAGTTACGTGACATGTTTCTGTATCTAAGGTGTTAACTGCATTATAAGAGAATAGTAAAAGAGGAGGAGAGGATTTTAAGGGAGTGATTTCAAGGACTGAGAGTATCTAGCAGAAAAATATGCATGAAAAATTAGAATAGCAGAAATAGGAAGAAGGCAAAAAATACATACAGGATTGGGAAACAAAGTGACAGAGACGATAGAAGAGATGTGAGGACAAACAGGACTTTAAAAAATGATTTTTTTTATCTGTAATGGCAATAGTAAAACAGGCAGGTGAGACTGAGGTAGCTGGAGCTGAAGATGTATCACCAGAGGAAATCGTTGTGCCTACAGTTAGTTGCTCATGGCTGTCAATGAAATTAAAAGGAACTACATATAAAATGGGTACAAAACAGTGTTCTCTGTCACAATGCACATTTAGCTTTTGGAGCTCGTTGTGTTCTTGTGGACAGTCAGGCAATAATAGGACAGGAAAAAGGATTGTACCTTCATATTATTAACAACTCTTACAGGGGAAGGGGGCACATGCACACACATACATGTGTATAGTTAGAAGGAAGGAAAGAGACTGTTTCAAAAGCAAAGCAAAACGCTTTCTGAAAGGGATATAAACTCTTGTGACTCGGGGTATAAACCAGCTTCTCACCAATGTGTTCGGGAAACAGATTCCCCTGCAAGCCAGTTAATCTGTTACTGCCTACCTGCAAGGCTTCATGAACCATTCTGTGTATCACTTGGCTTCTCTTTCTTTCTTTTTACCTATGGAGCAGGGACAATGCTTTCTTTGTTCCCAGTTAGGTTGGCAATTTCTCAAATCCTCCATAACTTTTCAAGAAAAATGCAAGTTCTTGACAAAAATAAAATGGAAATATGTCACCAAAAAGAACAAATTAGAATAGTGTTAAGTAAGCAGCTTTTTAAAATTTGGTACTCGTGTTTATATTGGAGGCCGCTAGGATAACATGTGGATTTAATTCTTAGCTTTAGATTTAAAAATCCTAGAAATATAAATTGTTCTCTGTTGCTTCAGTTACTTCTAGGAAACACTTATTTCTTCATTTTCTGGTCTATGGATTGAACTAAGGAAGTTCAATATGTTTTATTCCAAGTTCAGCTTTTAAATGTTGCAGTGTCTCTGTAAAACGTGTAAGAAGCTGCATTGAATTTCCCTTCCCCCACTTTTAAATACAATTCCTTTAGGAGCAAAAAAAATTGAAGCGTCTATGTTATACTGAGTAATTATGCCCCCTGGGAAATAGAATATAAAGATCTTTAAAATCATTCAACTGAGAGAACAAGCACTTTAACTTTTGCCTCGCAGGAGTCATGTATTACATTATCAGCTACTTGCTCCAGTGTCAGTGTGTCATGCCTTGCAGGTTAGCAGGTTTGGCAGAGGAAATGAAACCCAGTCAGTTACTGCAGGATTTATAGTAGACCTGCTGTTGCAGGAAGTGGTGAAAAGTTGATTGATAGTCTGAGGCAAAACTCTACAACAAGAAACAGGATGTATGTTTGTTATTTTATACCCGTTTTCTCCTCTGCCCCCTGCCCCTCCATTTCAAGGCACCCTCTTACTTTTTCTTCCCTCTGTTTATAAATCCACAATGCACTTTTCTGGTAAAGCATGTGCTGACTTCAAAATACTTGAGGAAATGGTGGCTGTACCAAAGATTTGAAGCTGACGTAGCGTGCCTGCTTTATTAGAGGTGTTTATCTAAATGGTCCTGATACTTTTGTTGAATTATATTTCAGCTGAGTTACGAATTAAAGGTAAAGCACATCTACGGACAGTGTATCAAACATCTCCTGCTATCATGGGTGCACCAAGATAGCTGTGAAAGGAGGATAATATATCACTGAGATGGACCTGATCAGCTATGCTCTATCGGGTCATCTGCATTTAACAGACATATCTGGAAGGGTAGTAAAACAAAATGATTTTTCTGCACATGAACTTAATCCAGCAAGCCACATACTGCAGAGTTCACTGCTAAAGACAGTGATCCTGAAGAGGGTTGTTCTGAAATCCATGCTTTCCCTTACTGTGCACTGCTGAAACATCAAAGAAGCAGTATCTTTTCTGAAAATGTCACTGAAGACTTTCAGTGGGATATTGTCTAGCCTTGTGGGAAAAGTTATCCAAAATAATAGTAATTATGAATACTTTTGATATTTTTTTTCCCTATAGCATCTACTTTTACAATCATAATTGAAGAAGAAAGTTGTTTGCAAACTAAGCAAATAGTAGAAATGTTTAAGATTTGTGTTCTCATTATTAAATGGGAAAGTTCTGTTTGTAAAGTTAAACGATATATCTTGTTCTTTGTTAAAGGTCAAAAAAGTTGGCTGCGCTCTCTGAATCCTTGCGGAAAACCACACTTGCTAAGTCCCACATAGGATTTGAACTAGAAGAGCTGGAAGCAGCAGCAGTGCTGGTACAAGAGGAAGAGAGCATGTTAAAAGCTGCTGGCACAGTTTCCAAGCAACAGCTGCCTTCCTCTGAGTCGGAGACAAGTGACTCTGAAGAATCAAGCAGTACTTCATCTGAGACAGAAGGCTCTGATTCAGATGAGCGAGAGTCCTCAACCAGTGAAGATGGGAAAATAAATTCTTTACAAGGCACGCTTCAAGAGGAGAAGACAGCTCCACTTATTGACTGTAATGGATTAAGGCAGGGCACAAACACTTCGTCGTTTGAGGTTAGTGATGAAAAATCAACGGTTTCTTTGCCATCTACATCTGTTCCTGGAAAACTGGTAGAAGAATTAGAAAAGCAAATGCACACTGCAATTAGACTTTCAGAACAGCCTGAAGGATTGGCTACTGCAAGCTGCGTATTACAGAAACAAGAAGAAAACCGTGTATCTGAACCTGACAGATTTTCAAAAGATACTACTGGGAAGGGAAACTTCTTGGAGGTGTCTTCAAAGACAAACCCATTGCTTTTTCTTTGCAGCACAAATGAAGATGAATTCTAAAGGACCATGTTAGAACACGGTGTGATCCACTGGCAGCACAGCTCATTGCTATAATGAGGTGTTCCCAAGGCTATCCTGAGCTGCAGAAAGAAGTTGATATTTTTCTTCTTTGTTGTGTTGACAGTTTGGAGGACAAGACTGCTTTGAAAAGAATTGATATGACTGTATGATAGATACGCTCATAGTTTTTTATTTTTCTTCTCTGATTCAACAGAGTCTCAGATTTGATCTCTACATGTGGGAATGTGTAATTTCAGAAAACTTCTAGAAACAGTTTTCATTAAGCTTATTCGGTAGTAGAATGATGTCCTAATCAAATACAACTGAAATGAGCTGTAGCATCATTTTAGTTATCTTTAGCTGTTGGGATTTACTTGAAAAATATCCTCGTTATGTTTGTATAAACTTGTTTTTGACATTTTGCTGCATTTTTTTAAATTTTAAAATGCCTTATAGCTAACCACTTCAAAAATAATGGTTATAACTTTAAAAGTCTAAATAGTGCTGACAAATTATTTCTAAATATATAAATATTTTCTATTTTTTGTACAAAATAAAGGAAATTTCTTTATCATCAGTGCAAGATAGAAGGGTTATAGCTTATTTCTACCAGATAGAAGGGTTATAACTTATATTTCTGCAGTTCTTACGTAAGTTATTTCAACAGTTTTGTCATGTATTTATTATTTTGTGCTGTTTTTGAAATGTTTCCACATGTGGACACTACTGTTTCTTTTTAAAGAACAGAAATCCTAATTATTTCTTATTTCTTTCTGCAAATGCTCTTAATATCACCACAGTAATGTTAACCAAAATGAAGAAACAACATGGTACAGTGCTCTTGAGTATAGGACTGAAAGCAAACCTGTGCTGTCTAGACCTGGCTTTGTTACTAGTCTGTCGCGTAGCTTTGGCCAACTCATTTGCTCCTTTTTGTCTTTATAACATTAAAATAATCCAATCAGTCAATGTATTTTGTGCTAACTTCTGTTAACTGTAGATAGGTTCTTGAAATCAGGCGGCTACTGCAAATTATACGCTGCTATTCAGTCTCCTCAAAAGGATTTGGGAGGGAGGCAGGATGGGACATGGACCACCAGGTTTGGTTCAGCAGTCTGACAAAACTGGAGCACCTGATTCATGCCTCTGGAGGAGCAAGCAGTGATTACTTTTCAACCTTTTTCTATTAAAAAGTGTATAAAAATCCTAAGCCTAAAGACTTATTCTTCACCAATGCTACACCCTGCTGGAAACCAGCAGGCTAGCTCTGTTCCTGTGCTGACTCCTGTTCAGTAAGAACTGCAGCCCTGATCTGCCAATATTTTTTATGTTCTTAAACACCTACCGGTCGCTTAATCAGTCTGTGTGTTCTGTTCCCAAGGGGAGGAACCTTTCCCATCTTGCATGTCAGTGAGCACTTACTCTTCTAAATGCTAGCAATAAAATCTACACTGGAGCTGCAATTATGCAGCATATGTCTGAGAGAAGGGAAAAAAAAGGCATTTAAGAAAGGGAAAAAAAAAAAGTAACCCTCCTCCCTCTCTCCCCAAATTACAGGTATGAACTCTGAAACTTCCTTCGACTGAACATGGGCTGGAGAAGGCTATATTACTGTGAGTTAGGAAACACACATTGTGAAAATTGATAGGTATTTGCAATATCCCATGTCTTCAGCGCTCTCTTTTTTTTTCTTTTTTTTTTCTTTTTCCCTTCTCCATTCTCCCATTTTGTGGCAGACTGAGGAGACTGTTCTTTTTCCAACAGACCTGCTTACGTTCAGGGGCTGGCTGCCTCTTCTGGAGTGAGGACATCATCTTTGGTTAATCTTTTTGTTCTTTCCTCTGTGTGCCTAAAAGCGTAATTTATTTATGCCATTTTTGAGTCTTTTCCATGTCTGTGTGAATCCAGTTTGGGTGTAAATATCTTCAGTGTCCATACAATGTGATGCCACACTAAATGCCAGATGAGAACATGGCATGCACACAGATGTTAACTCCCAGATAGCTTAGATGTCATTGATGTCCTCACCTTTGAGACCCTGCGTAGTTGAGCTCTGTTTCTGCCTCCGAAAGCATACTGGTGCCTGCTCACTTCTGCAGGTCTGCAGCGTGCTGTCTTCCCTTCTGCTTCTGCCCTGCTATTCCCTCGCACGTCTGCACCTGGGGAAACATGCTGTGGTGTGTCGTACCCTGAGGCCCCCTCCCATTCCCAGTTTTCTTCCCCTTTTTCTCCAATGTTGATGTTCATCATTGCCTTTTTGCAGAACTCTGTGTTTAGTGGTTGTGGAGCTGGTAATGAATTTTGATTTATATATTGATTGATGGCAATTTTATGTGATCTTTGTCGTGGTGGGGTGGGAAGTTTTTCCATATTGGGTGATTAAGAATTTCACGTGCGGCTGCATTATGCAGCACACCCAGAGTGCTCAGGATGAGCAATGTCTATATGAAAGACGCCTTGCTTTTCTAAAAAGAACACACAGAGACACTTAGAAGAAAAGTGGAGCTCTGTAACCTTGTTTAGCTGAAACTGAGGCTCGCTGAATCCATGAATCACAAACACTTGGGAAAAACAAAAAACCCCACCCCACCCCCAACCCCTCAATCCTGTAAGCTGCTGCGGGTTCTGAAAGAAGTGAGTGAACTCCAATAAGGAGTCAAATTTATGTAGAGAATGAATTGGATGAATCCATAGGAATTGTTCTAACGCAGGTTTTCCAGGCTGGAAGTCTGTTGATACAGGAGGAACTCAATGCACACGTAGTGTGCTCTGTTGGTTTTAAAATTCTCCTTATTTCTAGTGCCCCTCCCCACCCCATCCACCCAAGCTTATTTGTAGCACAGCCAATACTTTGTTTTAAGGCATTTGTTGCTCATCATCGTAATCAGTCCGAAGGGAACAGAATTGCAGTGTCTGGACAAAATTCCTACTGAAAATAAGTTTGAATATGAGCTAAGCCTGAGAGGGGAAGAGCTGTGGGGTTTCGCTGGAGGAGGGGAAAGCAGGTTGTCTGAGGTGTACGGAGTGCTCTGGGGGAGAGATTAAATGGAGTTGGAAATGGAACTTGTTTAATGTCTTCTTGTTAATCAGTTAACTTTATATTCGAGATCTCGGCTGTTTAAATAGAGCATCTTTGTCCCAACCTTATGTTGTGGCAGTGGTGCAGAGCTCCCCCGAAGCCGATTAAGGTGGCTGTGGGAAGATGGCTCCAGTTAATGTCCTGACACCTCTCTGCCACAGCAGACTCTCATTGGGACAGCACCGACCTCCATTCTTATCCAGACCCAAGTGAAGGCAAGGTCTCGTTCCCAGCCCCACATCTTCGCAGAGGTGTTTGTGAGCTGTCCTTACAGAAAGCTGATCTCCCTGGGTAAGCGAATGGCAGCAGCCTGGATTCTTGCCTGAGGCCCCGGGGGAGTCTGTTCTCCATCCTTACTGCTGCCTGGAGCGCTGCTCCTGCCGAGGATAGCAGGAGAGGGATCTGCAGGCCCTGTTTGTGCTCTTGGTGGCATGTATGCCAGCCCTGCTGTCTTGAGCTGCCCGAGTGTAACAGCCCTGGTAAATGAGAACGAAGGCAACTCGAGTGCTCTCAAGACTTGGCTCCGCGGCTTGGTGGGACTGAGGGGGCAACGCAATGTGTGCGTGCAGAGGGAGGGAGTCCCTTGTGTCCAGGAGTTGGCTCTGAAAGAATGGGGATGCACTTGTGTTAGACAGGGAGACACTTGTTCATGTGGTGCTTTAAGAACAAGGTGTTAAAAGCAACAAGTGAAATACTGGAAACAATCAGCAGATAAACCTTTTTTTTTTCCTCCTTTTTTTTGATGCGGACTGCCACTCACAGAACATTGCCACCTTTTCATTTCTTTCCCCAAACTGAAAATTAGTGCTGAATTGATTAAATAATTGATTTCTTCCCCCCCCCCCCCCGGCTTTTTTTAATTCCAGCCAGCTTTCTGAAAAGTTTGTAAAGGGTTTGCTCTATATCAAAAGAAAGCATTGATTAGACTTGATTTACTACAGTAAATTATAAATATGGCAAAGAAATTGATTCACAGCACTGGAGTGAAGGGGCCAGGCAACCCTCTGCCGTTGACACAGCTGAATATTGTCAAAGCCTGAGCCGACTGTCTCAAGGCTGGAGAAAACAAACAGGGAAACACATGTCAAACAGATAAATAGCTCTGCTGTTCAGAGCTCTCTGTGGAGGCCATTTGTCTCCAAGATAAGGAAGAAGACACTCCAGAGCTGTGAGAAGATAAGCTGGGAGAACAAAATAATATGGAATTGCTATAGTCATACTTGGACATTTACACACGGAGCAAATACGGTCCCCCCACCCCAGGGGTCTCTACAGTGAGCAGGGTGCAGCACCCAGGGAAATGTCTAATGGGAACTTGCAAACTTATTTTCTTAAATATTTCAGCAGTGGATGATATTTACACTGTTACAGCGTACAAACAAATGGCATTAGTGTCAGTTGTCTTAGCAAGTCACTAATTTAAAGTATGTTCTGAGCCTGTCCTGGATCTATTTATCTCTTTTTTTAGTGGTAAGTGGGCTGCAGCCTGTGGTTATGTGGGCATCTGTGAGGCATGATTTTGCATTGACGCAAATTTGGGTTTGTAGTATTGTGGTACCCATAAATCATTCTGGTTTTATATTCTTAGGTTTTGGAGAAGTGACAGTACCACTTCCACAAATGCTGCATTTGGAGACCTGTCTTAGATTGTCTCTGAAATGCATTTGGTAATGTCGGTTTGCATTTCGTTAAAAAGTTTTCTCATATTCAAAAGCCGCAATGCAATTCAGCACAGTTGGCGCATGCTCGAGGACAAGAACAAAAGCTGTGTCTCTTAGGTGAGGACTAAGATGTTGGCAGAGCTCCATGAAGGAGGACAGCTCTGACCCAACAGCCGGTCAGTTCTGTGGGAGAAGTTTCCTTTAGTCGGTTAGTGCTGGTTAGTGATTAGCATGGAAAAGAACAGAAAGTTTCAGGTTTATAAGCTAGCAAGGTCAGCCAGGTGGTAACCTTACTAACCAGTAACCCCAGGAGCTCACTGGCCAGTCCCTCTCTTCGCTGTTGATGTTCTGAATGACTTTGCAAATCATTTTCCCTGGTTTTACCGAGGCGCTGGGCCTGACTCGGGAAGGTCCAGACTTTGGAAAGGGAACACAGAAATAGAGTAAAAAGGAATAAAGCTCAAATCTGGTAGCGGAGACTTCTTTCTCTGCTACTGACTTGTGCTGATCAAGGGCAAGAGGCTAAAATGTACAATTTCTGATGTAGTCTTAAATATCTGTCTCTGTATCAGTATCTGAGTGTCTGACTCAAGGCTGTCGGGGCCTTGGGAGCTGCGATTTTAACCCACACCAGCTAGAGTCACTGCTCCTCTAAACCCCTGAAAATTAGACAAACCTGGCCAAAATTAGATGCCAGAAACCTCTTTAAAAAATAATAATAAATAAATAAAAGGATGTGCCTGAAGGCTTGGCTCTCTGTTCCACTATCGATACCTCTGTAAAATGGACCTTTTAGCCCTCTGCCCAGGGGGATCTGTGGGGCCTCATCACCACTTGAACAATTCTTTGGTGCTTGTCTTCTGGAAAGGTCCTGTTCTTGGGCGATCCCTGGGCATAGCCTTGCTTCGCGTCAATAAACAAGGATAAAACCAACCGTGCGTGTGCGAGACTGTTTCCAGCACCAGAAACAGATCCCTGGTGTTTCTTTTTGGCAGGCACATCACCTTCTTTGAAGAGCCCAGAAATTTAATAGCCTCTCTCATTCTCATCACTGATTTGGCTTGCACCACTCTTCTCTGTGCATGACCCCGCTCTCAGTGCAGAACCCCCCTTCTCGTGTGCTAAGCTGCTCTTGGAGGTCCCATCTCTCTACATCGCTCCCCTTGTCGCCTCGCCTGTTCACTGGGCACTTGTACGCAGCATGCCTACTCTTTATGTCAAT